ACACCTTGCCTCCCGACGGCTTCAGCTGCTAGAAGTCCCCCAGTTGGATCACGGTGGGCATCCGGCCGAAGACGCTGCCGACTTGGTCGTACTCCCGCTCTTCCGCGCCCCACTCGACCTTGCGCCCCAGGTAGGACCGGAACGCCAGCTTGTTGTGCAGGTTGGACGAGATCATGCTCGCTTCCTCCAGGATCAAGCACTTGACCGCCTCCCAAGATGCTCGCGGCCGAGACCAATTCGCGCAGACTATCAGCGTGGACTTCGCTTTGCCTGGTTCCACAAGGAACAGCGCGTCCATGGCCGGCAGCGCGATCTCGTGCACCATGGCGGTTTTCCTGCTGCCGCCCTGGCCGAGGAGCAGGGACCGGAACGTCTTCCGCTTCGCGTGCTTGGCCATGCTGCCGTCCGCGATATTCTCCTCCTCGTTTCACGCCACGTTGCAGGCGCTCGCGAACGCCGTCACGAACAGGGCCGGGTCGGGTTTCAGATGGCGGCGTTCCTGCTGCCCCTTTCTCGGATTGACCACGCCGTCTTCGAACTTTTTGACGAGGCGCTTAACGAAGTTGCCGGCCGCCGCAAGTCTTCCGACGGTTCCCACCGCGCCTGGGCCCGCATCGCGCCGGCACCCGCTGCCCCGACGTCGTCTGGCGCGGGGGCGCCGTCCACAGGCACGTCCGCGTCCTTCGTGCCCCCCTTGGCGAACCTCTTCCGTTGGGTTCCAACCAAGTCTCTCAGTTCGTCTGCGTCGAGGTCGCGCAGGGATCTTGAACGGAGCGAGGACGTCCTCCTTCAGGGCGCAGGCTGCGCGCCGCGACGCGTCGGCGTCAGTCGGCCCGGGCAGCGTTCCGTCCTCCATCATCGGGGCGGCCTTCTTGAGCTCCTTGACAAAGGTCTGCGTGCGTTTGGCGGTATCGAAACGCAAGATCTGCCCGAGCGTTTCGGGGTCGAAGTGATGTTCCAGGACCGCGCTGGCGCCCAGCATCGCGAAGCCGTCCTGAGCGCGGATGCCGTGGGCCTCCACCTGGGGCCGCAAGTGGAATTCCCTATGGGGCCACGAAGCGCTGTACTGACTGTGGCGGACGCATGCGGCCACCCCCAGTGGGGCCTTCGGTGGGGCTCCCTCTAGGACCACGGAGCGCTGTGCTGAGCGTGGCGGACACATGTGGCCACCCCCACTGGGGCCATAGGTAGAGTTCCTTATGGGGCCACGAAGCGCTGAACTGGGTGTGGCGGACGCATGTGGCCACCCCCATTGGGGCCCCTGGTGGAGCCCCCCATAAGGCCACGAAGCGTGTGAGGGGTGTGCCGACATGGGTGTGGCGAACGCATGGTGCCCCCCCCCCCCACACACTGGGGCCTTAGGTGGAGTTCCCTATGGGGCCACGTAGCGCTGTACTGAGTGTGGCGGACGCATGTGGCCACACGCAGTGGGGCCTTACGTGGAGTTCCCGATGGGGCCACGAAACGCTGCAGTAGGTGTGGCGGGCGCATGTGGCCATCCCCACTGGGGCCTTTGGTGGAGCTCCCTATGGGGCCATGAAGCGCTGCACTGGGTGCGGCGGGCGCATGTGGCCACCCCCACTTGGGTTTCGGTGGAGTTTCCGATGGGGCCGCGAAGCTCTGTACTGGGTGTGGCGGACGCATGTGGCCACCCCCACTGGGGCCCCAGGTGGAGCCCCCCATAAGGCCACGAAACGTGTGAGGGGTGTGCCGACATGGGTGTGGCGAACGCATGGTGCCCCCTCCCCCCCACTCGGGCCTTAGGTGGAGTTCCCTATGGGGCCACGTAGCGCTGTACTGCGTGTGGCGGACGCATGTGGCCACCCCCACTGGGGCCTTAGGTGGACCTCCCGATGGGGCCACGAAGCGCTGCAGTAGGTGTGGCGGACGCATGTGGCCACCCCCACTTGGGCCTTGGGTGGAGCTCCCGATGGGGCCGCGAAGCGCTGTACTGGGTATGGTGGGCGCATGTGGCCACCCCTACTGGGGGCACAGGTGGAGCTCCTGAGTGGGCCACGAAACGCCTTACGGATTATGGGACGCATGCGGACACCCCCATTGATGGCGATGATGATGATGATGATGATGATGATGATGATGATGATGATGATGATGATGATGCTGATGCTGATGCTGATGCTGATGCTGATGCTGATGCTGATGCTGATGCTGATGCTGATGCTGATGCTGATGCTGATGCTGATGCTGATGCTGATGCTGATGATGATGATGATGATGCTGATGATGATGATGAGGAGGAGGAGGAGGAGGAGGAGGATGATGATGATGATGATGATGATGATGCTGGTGATGATGATGATGATGAGGAGGAGGAGGAGGAGGAGGAGCATGAGCATGAGCATGAGCATGAGCATGAGCATGAGCATGAGCATGAGCATGAGCATGAGCATGAGCATGAGCATGAGCATGATGGTGATGGTGATGGTGATGGTGATGGTGATGGTGATGGTGATGGTGATGGTGATGGTGATGGTGATGGTGATGGTGATGGCGATGGCGATGGCGATGGCGATGCTGATGATGCTGATGATGATGATGACGCAGAAGATGATGATGATGATGATGATGAGGAGGAGGAGGAGGAGGAGGAGGAGGAGGACAAACAACTAAAGGGAGAGAGGAAGAGCGAGAGAGAGAGAGGGAGAGAGAGAACGCTAGTGTGTTATCCAGTTGCGCTGCCCCGCGAGTCCGCCACCGCGCCTGGGGCGGGCGCCTGGGGGAGCAGGCCGGGACTCGGAGGGTGCGGGGTGTTCGGGGCTTTCGGAGGGGGGAGGTGCCCCGGGGCTCGCTGTCTGGACCTCGGCAACAACGCTCTGCGTGGAATGCAACCGGCGCAGGGACGCGTGCAACGGACATGCGCATTTGTCGGGATCGATGCTCCTGGAGGCTCCGCTTCGCGATAGGTGGGGAAAAAACAATACAATCAAGAAACACCCGACACACACACACACACGCACACACACACGCACACACACACACGCACACACACAAACACACACGCCGACCCTTGTAAGCGCGGTGCCAGAGATCATCCAGCTAGACATTCAGTTCCATTAATTTCTTCACTCGTGACCTAGCCTTTCGTACTTTTGGCGCGATGTCGGGGGATCCGACTGAGGACAGATCCCACAGCTGACTTAGCCACAGGGCAGACCTCAGCAACGCGAGTGCCACGATGTTGCTGCATGATACAAGCCAAGGACAGCCGCGTGCCAGCGCAAGGACAACGGGCAACGGCAGGACATCCGCGGAATAGCCACTGGACAACGGCGGGACAGCCCAGGGGGCCGCGGCGGCCAGAGGGCATTGCGCCTCGCCCGCACGCGCGACACGACACGAACCGAAGCCGAGGTCGAGTCCCTGGTGGCGGTGAGATCAGTTTCGCTTCGGACTCGCCCCCAGATCTCCGATTCTACCTGGCCGCGCATCCTCCCGTTTTCACCAGAAACATGTTTTTAGCACTCACGCTCTCAGAGGCCCGCGCGGATTTCTTGGATCGGCAGTGGCACCCCAGGCGGCGCCTACGGCGCCGTCCTTAGGCCCCCGGATCTGGCGCCACGGTGTTCTTGAATTGGCGTTTCCGGCGCTGCCCCTTGCGCGCTCCGCGCACCAGGAAGGGGGGTCCAGCGCCAATCCAAGAGATCCGCGCGGATCTGCGAAGCTATAATCTGCCGATTGGTGCTAAGTCGGGCCTGTCCCTCTACAGGAGGAATATTCAAGAATATGCTTTGACAATGTTTGAGCATTTGTTGGATATTTTTAAATTGCGTCCAAAATCCGCCTGTAGGGGGACATGCCCGACCTAAGATAGGTGTTTTCCTTCTACTCGAGGCCCTCCCCTCCCCAGCGTAGGGTAGCCAGCTCGCCCAGGCGTGGGTCCACGCCCACCTCCGCGCGAGAGCCCAGGCCAGTCAGAGCCAGGCCGCGCGGCGACCTCAGAGCCGGTACAAAGCTGGCTCTCGAGGAGGGAAGCTCAAAGGGTCAAACAGTGGCGAAGCGTCCGGGCTCGCCTACAGGCCCACCGACGAATGTTCTGAGAACCTTTTGTGGTTTCTATGACATGCTCTTGGAACATTTTTGGTTGGGTCTGTCTTGTTTTACTGCACCAGGTTTATGCTCTAAGAACATTCTTCTTAGAACATTTTGGGGGTTCTAAGAAACTGCCGTGGTCGACCTATAGGAAAGCCAGGACGGTCGGTCCCTGCTCAAGAGGGGGTGTCGAGCGGAGACCCCCGTTGCTCGCCAAAGCGCGAATTGGGAGGCCACTCAGCATCTCCGCCATGTGCCACCAAAAGTTGCCAAGGCCGTTCTGCTCTGGGTGCTCAGGAATGCGGAGGCTCGGCGGTTCAGTGGACTTTTTCTCTCAGGCATGGCTCGGCAGGTCCGCTGGAGGAGAACGGGGAGGAGTGATCCCCTCCCTCGCATTACCCCCTACGCCCTCTTCCTCACTTCCACCCCTCTCCTCCATTCCCCTGTCGTATGCGGATCCGCAAGTGCGGCCTTGACTATGCAGCCAATGCGTAGGCGTCGAAGTAAGAACGTCAAGCTTCATGCTCTTGTGACCATTTTGCGATGTCCTCGAACAATTAGTTTCTTGCCCCTAAACAACCGGGCCTGCGCTCATCTGTAATCGCTATGTCTTTGACTCGGGGACCCCTCGCGCCGCTGCACTGTAGAAGGCTATGATGAGAGATTGCGGACATGTGAATCGAGATAGAGGTCGAATCGATCATCGATGTGGTGCGGCTTTGTTTCGAATATCTCGGTGATCTTCGTTAGAAGTTGGGTTGGCTATCTACGAGTCCAGCTTTCTAAATCGATTCAGCCTTCTAGAATCATTCAGCAGGCCTCCCCTGATCATGGGCATCTCATCCTTAAACGTACCACTCGCATTGTATAACCCGTTGGTTTGCATCACGTTGCGCCAAATGTCTCAACAAATGATGTCTAATCCCCAGGAGGGTGACAAGGTGAAGGAGATGGACAATCTGTGTGCTGTGGAGAGCGACAAGGCGGCGTGTTGATCACGCATGTCATGCTGTATTCCCATCCTTCTAGCTGCTTGATAGTCCATGATGTGCATACACTTTCGCACTTCGGTGTAACTCGAGAGTCCCCACTCATGGAAGCGACTCTCGTTGAGTGGGGGCGAGTGTGGGCACGTGTTAGTCAAGGTGCTCCTGGCGACTAAACTCGTGCACCCCGTCTCTCCTTCACTTCACATCCAGCTGCCCGCGGTTCGTTCAGCCACCGTGCCAACGTAGCATTCTGCGTGGCGACGCTTGGAGCATCCCCCCAGTAGTCTGCAGCAGGTGACACCTCTCGGCTCGATTCAACGAGAGGATCCCATCAGACAGATGTGGCCAACTTACCTGGACTGTCCTGGAGCCATGTCATGCCGTCTGGAGGCCCGCACAATATCGAGTCATGATCCCCAGGAAACCCAGCGTAGCACAGACGATGTAATTCCGCAGCGTTGCAGTGAGCGCGGCCTTTCTGACTGGCCACTTGGCCTTCCACTCGGTGTCTTGGAAGCTGTTTGGGCGCACTTGGGCGCCTCTTGAGGTTAATCCTGGTCTACGCGCCCGCTCGACGCACCGACTCGCGCGGGAGTGCCCGCGTGCCGGCGCGGCCTTCGGGACGCGCGGGGAAGTTCCCAGCGGTCAGCGCCAACGCGGCCGCGCCGGTCCTGTCAGACTAGCTGGCTGCTCTACGCGCGAACCTTCGCGCTGGCGCGGCCGCGGCGATGCGCCGCCCAGCGCCGAGCAGTCATCGCAATCGCTGCTGCATGGGTCTTGCAAGCCTAGGTGTGGGCGGGCGGGTGGGATGACCTCGCGAGCGGTGGAGTCGACACATTCAAGGTCGTCAGATCGAGTTGGGCCGCGTAGCTTGCACCGCCGAGCTTCCGCAACACAGGCGGCAACACGCATATTGGACCACCGATATTCTTTGTTCCAGAATGGGATTTGGAAATTCCCCCCCCCCCGGTCTTCTCGCCCCCCCACGGGGATGTGGAAATGCTCTTAACTTTGCCCCATCGTTCACTCTTGATTGCGAAGGTCTTACGGCAGGTGCCGCCGACCCTGAAGGGAGACGCCGACGACGACGACGACGACGACGACGACAACGGCGGCAGCGGCAACGACGACGACGCTGACGTGGGCCAGTTCTTCGGAAGTCTCTCGGGGGCCTCTGTGGAGGAATTTTGGGGCCTCTTGGGAGCCTCTTGGGAGCCTCTTGGTGGCCTCTTGGGAGCCTCTTGGGGGCCTGGGGACCTCTTGTGGGCCTCTTGGGGCCTCTGGGGGACTTCTTGGGGCCTCCTGGGAGCCTCTTGGGGCCGAAGGCTCGAAATGTCTGTTCGGGTCCCCCGTCTGGGCACGCTCTTGGAGCCATCTTGGGGGCATCTGGGGCCGTCTTGCAGGCGTTTTGGGCTGTCTTGGGGTCCTCCTGTGCTGTTTTGGGGTTCTCTTGGAGGCCTCTTAGGCCGTCTTGGGGAGATATGAGGGGACCTCTGTCTCCGTTTTGGAGCTGCGGGAAGTGGAAAAGACGAGAACGCCCAAATCTTCCAACAACCAATAATAAATCAATGAATTTGGCGTCTCGGTGTCCTCTCGGGAGTGCTCTTGGAAGCGTGTTGGGGCGTCCTCGAGGCCTCCTGGGCAGTTTGGAGGGCGTGAAGGCGTTTGGGACAGATCGTTTCGCGATTGGGGACCATCTTGTACCGTCTCGGCGGCCTTTTGGGGCACTCGTGGCCTGTCTTGGTACTTTCTGCCCCATCGTTCACTCTTGATTTGAACCTAATCCCCCCCTCACCCCTTTCACATGATGTTGCGCGCGCATTCGTTTATCAACGTTCATCCATTTCCGGAAATTCGTTGCAACATGTGCGAGAAAGTCCACGCGGGCGCACCGTCGCCCGCGCATGCCGAAATTCATCGAACACCTTTCAAAGTTTCGTCGGGATTTCAAGATCGAGGTTTTTACGAATTATATAGGCAATTCATGTTTTTGCAACATGTCATGTTCAAAATATTCCGCACGCGCGCGCTCTTGCGAGTTCTTGTGAACATCATTGGCGTTCAAACATTTTCATCTAGTGCGACCAAGCGGGCGCGGCGCGCGCATACCCGAAGCATTCGATCGCCTTCATGCCCAAATCCCTCCAAAACAAAACCCTCATCACCGACGCGTGGCCATCATCGTTATTGGCGTGATCAGCATCGGCGCCATCATTGGCCTTGCCATCGTCATCGTCACCGTCGCTGACCGTCGCTACCAGCATCGCTTCAATCATCATCGCGTCTGCCGTTGCCGACGTCGCCATGATGCCGCGCCCGCCTGAGTCATCGACTCGTAATGCATGGACAGCGCCACCGCGGCCGCGTTGGACTCGCCAGACTAGCTGGCCGTTCTGCGCGCGAGCCTGCGCGTGCCAGCGCGGCCGCAGCGATGCTCCAGCCAGCGCCAAGCAGTCACCGCAATCGCCGCCGCAGAGGTGTTGAATACCAAGCTGCGGGTGGGTGGCTGGAATCATTGCGGGAGCATGGGGGCTTATAACCTCAATTTCAGCAGGATGAAATGCACCAGCTAGGTTGCACTACATCAGATACAATTGTATATGTATATACATGTTTATGTTTACAGACATACAAGGCACCACCTCTTATATATATATATATGTATATATATATGTATATGTATGTGTATATATATATGTATGTATATATTCACATATATACATACATATATATATATATATATACATATATACATAGATTCCTCTTCCTATATTTTTACAAGCCTGGGCGGGGGGAAAGCCCGTCACCCCCCCAAAAAAAACTGGACTCCCAGGATCTGGGGCTTTGGGACCCTTCGGACCGGCCTCGAAGCGGCCCCCCGGGCCTCGCAGGGCGTTTTGCCAAGCCTTCGCAGCACACCTAAGGCGATCAGGGGGGTCATCGGAGACGTCCTAGAGAACCCCAAGACAGCACAAGAGCGCTCTAAGAAGCCGTCATACCCCGAAAGATCGCTCCAAAACGTACCAAGAGGCCTCCAAGAGCACCCCCAAGAAGGCCCCAAGAGGGAATAATCATAGATTTAATATAGGTTTTTGGTGAATTTCGGGTTCTCCTCTTTTCGGCTTCCCGACGCTCCAAGACAGCGGTCTTCTGGGCGTCCGAAGTCGCCTGGGAGGCTCCCAAATCGCCCTGCAACCATCCGAAAGGGCTTCCAGGCAGTCCAAGAGAGCCCCAGAACGGCACAACAGGGGGCCCAAAATGGCCCTAAGAGAGTCCCATGGCGGCCCAAGATGGCCCCAAGACACCCTCCGAAGCATTCCAAATCGTGACCGGGGCGTTCAGGGAGATTGCGGTTAGAGGCAGGTTGGCCTCAGTAAGCCCCAGAGGCCCCCAGAAAACGCCCAGGAGGCCTCCAGAAGGCTTTAAGAAAGCCTGAGAACTTTGGTGAGGCCCCCAGAGGCTCTCCAAGGAGGAGCCTCCGCAAAAAGAGCTGAGGAGGATGGGGAGAATACCCTGTGTATGGCGAGAACGAGGACAAATAAGCATGGAGGAGGGATAACGAACAACATTATCATAACGGCGATGCCAGAAAAGGCAGCAAGGAGTTATCGCAAAATTGTCCGCTTGACCTTCCTGCCATTTCCGCCTGCATGCCAATCTTCAAGGACCAAGGTACATGGCGCGAAGCGCCACTGCAGTCTTGTATATATATATATATATACATAGATATATATGCACCACACAGAATGCTAGAACACATTGTTGTGGGTCAGCGCTGACTGTCAGACATCTGTGTATGTAAATATACATACATACATGCATACATGCATACATACGCACGTACATACATACATACATACATACATACATACATACATACATGCAGACATGACCCCACGTGCATTTCATGATATTGCAATTGTTTAATCATTTGGCGAATTGACCCGGCAAAGGCATCCGTGGAGCTCACCAGCCCGTTCACTGGTACCGTCAAGAAGCTCCACTGGAAGGCCGTGTCTTTGTGATCGCCCACGCCAAGCGTCACGGTAAAGACGACGGCATCAATATTTGAAGCAGGTGAGCAGTCCGTGTCCTGAGACAATTCGTGGGCCGTCGTTCGGTGGTCAGGGTTGTTGTCCCTCACGATGTTTCCGGATCCCGAGCGTACGGATCAGTAGGCCTTGTTCTCGGTTTGCATACGAGGGTGGCGCGGTGGTGGCGTTTTTTTTGAATGCGGGGCTCTTTTTTGCAGGCAGGGATCGCAGGGATCTTCTTTGAAGTGCATCTAGCCATTTCAGAAGGCTTCTCAGAAGCCAAGAGGGTCTCTTAGACACCACGTGCCTCCAATTCTCACGAGCCCTTTCCCCGCCCTCGTAGAAACGCTCCCCCTTGGCGCCAGCCCAGCGCGCGCGCCGCCAAGGGAACACCAGGCGGCGTGGGCGAAGCTGGGCCCGTTTCCCAGACCGCGGCACGGTGGGCTGGTCGCCCCTCCCCTGGGGAGGCCCTTCTTCTGAGGCTTGAAGCGGCACCTCCCCTTTTTCCTCGAAAACGACAACAACACATAAACATCAACTTTTGGCGTTCCGCGCGGATGTCTTGGATCCGCGCCTGGGCCACCTGGCGGCGCCTCCGGCGCCGCCCCTGGCGCGCTCCGCGCGCCAGGGAGGGGGGTCCAGCGCGACTCCAAGAAATCCGCGCGGAGCGCCAACAGCTTATTTCTATGTGGGTTTTTCTTCTTCTACTTCTGGCCGCGAGCCTTGTTTGGGCTCCCCCTCCCCCGCCTTTTCCCCAAGGAGGTTCTCGCCGAATAGCAGTTCGCTGCGGGGGGCCCCTGCCTGTCCTCTCGTCGGCGGCATATCTGCAGGCTTCTTGCCACTCGTTACCCCGAGGCCCCGGCAGCCATTCGGTGGCGCCGGCACGGGTGGGAAGGGGGGGGGAGGCACCGGCTTTGGAGGGTCGAAAGAAGAAAGGGCGGCACAAACAGAAACTGTAAGTCGGGCCTGTCCCTCTACAGAGGAATCTGCAAACATATGTAAGAATTAGTCTGGGGACGAGTTATATATGTATATATATATACATACATATATATATATATATATATATATATAGATGTATGACAGTTTTGGAGCATGTTGGATGTATTTTGTAGTTTTCGTCCGCCGACCTAACAACAACTCTCCAGGCTCGGCGCGGATGCGTCGCATCGGCGCTCCAGCCCCTCCGGCGGCGCGTCCGGCGTCGCCCTTGGCGCCGCGCTCCGCCCGCCAGGGAATGGGGTCTGGCGCCGATCCAGAGAATCCGCGCGGACCCGCGGACCCCCAAAAGATGATGTCCATGCCAGTAGGAGGAGGACGACAAGGAGGAGGAGGATAAGGAGGAGGAGGAGGAGGAGGATAAGGAGGAGGAGGACGACAAGGAGGAGGAGGACGACAAGGAGGAGGAGGAGGAAGGAGGAGGAGGAGGAGGAGGAGGAGAAGGAGCAGGACGAGGAGGAGAAGAAGGCGGCGGAGGAGGAGGAGGAGGAGGAGGAGGAGGAGGAGGAGGAGCTTCGCGCGAACCTGTGGAGGAGGAGGAGCCTTGTTCCTCTGGAGGGGCCATCGCCCCCCCCATAGTCGCCAGTCTCGCCGCGCGGGGCCCGGCCCTGGTGCCCCCGGCCTGCCCAGGAGCAGGCGGTGCCCCCTTTCGGGGACCTGCCGCAGTCGGCGACGCGTCGTCGATCTCGGGGGAGGGAGACGGCCAAGAGTTGTCAAGTCACAGGGGGGATCCGAGGATGTAAAACATGGGGCGTGGAGGAGAGGATCATCATCCAGAAAATGCAGAGAGATTGCCGGGAATCCTGGGATGTGTGTTTACTTGTGTGTGTGTGCGCGTGTGTGTGTGTGTATGTGTGTGTGCCCCTTCAGATCCCAATTCTTTGTTGAGCCTCCCCCTCTTTGAGCCACATGCCTGGTGGAGCCAGAGGGCAGGGATCCTTGCAGTGCCCCCGCTGTTGGGAGAGGGTCAAGAGTTCAGGAGGGAAAAATACACACACTTAATCGTCGACTCCCAGGAAATATTGGAAAATATGGGAAGTGGGGGGGAAGACAGAAGCACAGAAAATATGGAAAAATATGGGGGATCCTGGGATTTGTGTGTACTTTTTTGCGTGTCCTTGGGCCCCTTGAAAGAGTTCAGTCTAGGGGATTCGGCTGGAACTCGTGCAGCCTTTCATTGTCCATGGTGTTCGAATCTGAGTCGGAGAGCTAAAACGGCTCAGCGCGTGTACGACTGATCCTTCGTTCGTCGAGCTCCTGCCCGCAGATCACTACACACGCCGGTCGTTGCAGGTAGGTATTTCTAGATTCCCAGATCCTAATCTGCTTTGGGCGTCTTCCTACTTCAAGGATCGACTGGTTTCCTTCTTCCCAGGGCGGTTGGAAGCCCAATCTATTTCCACGCGTTGCTACTGCATGTTTTCACCCTCTTCTTCCGACCGGCGTGTACCCCCTCCGTCTTCCCTGTCCCCCATCCCATCCCTGCACGTGCCACAAGATCGCTTCCCGAGGTCTCTGACACCGTCAAGGTCGGCTCGATCCTCGTCGAGATCGAGACTGCTGGTGGGGGAGAGGGACCGACACGTCCTATTCCGGTTTGGCAGCGAAGTCTGCAGCCGTGGTGACCAGATCTCGATGATGTCCTTTCGCAAACGTTTGGCATCCGTGCAGCTCCTCGGCTGCACGGGCATCATAAACAGCAGGATTTGTCCGTTTGAATTTGAATTCCGAAGGAGGGTCCGCAATCACGCAGCCAGATATTGGTCCAGAGGCTGGAAGTACGAGGTGTTTGACCTTCGATGTTCAATCGACCAAACAAAATCAGTTCCAGCAGCTGGTGAGGTTTCGCAGAGAAACTGAGGGCGCGCGATTCTGGACGTTTCCCCGAACAGTGGTTGCACCAAGGGCTGACTACTTGCGTTGTTAAGTAATTCGCTGGCGGTTCCGTCTTTGTCTCCAATGGCAGTTGGTCGCCGTGTCGTCGCCGCCCCACGCGGCTGTGGGCGTCTCCAGAGGTCCGCCTGGTAACTGCCCAGCGCCACCTCGCCGCCCAGTTTCTCCTCTCAAAAGAGTAAAGGATTCTTCTAGAAAGAGTGAAGCATGTGTGTTCTTGACAGATGTCCCAGACACTGCTGGCACTTGGGGGTTCCGTGGTTGCCTTCGCCGCCCCGTCGCTGCCTCGTCGTCGCCCGTCGTCTGGGCCCGAGCGGCGATCTGGCGGCTCCGTGGTCGTGGTCGCCGCCCGGTCGCCGCCTCGCAGCCGCCCGTCTGCTGGGCCCGAGCGGCGGTCTGGCGGTTCCGTGGTCGCCTTCGTTGCCGTCCGGTGGCTCCGCGGTCGCCGTCGCTGCCCCGCCGCTGCCTGCAGTGTACAGCGTAGATTGCGCCACATAGATTGTACACCATAGGTTACACCACATTGATTCTCTTTTCTAAAATGGTGTAGTAGGATCCCCCCCCCCAGAATTCATTCATATCATCCCAGGCAGGCCGATACCGCCACACCCCATCCTCTGCAAAGAGTACTATGCGCTCGCACGCGTTCATCAACCATCATCAGATTTCGAAAATCCTTGGCAAAAGATTGAACGAAGTGCACGCGCGCGTCGTCGCGCGCGCATGCCCAACTCCTTCACAAACCTGTGGTTTCGCCAGGCTTTCAACATCGAGTGTCCCGAAAACATGTCAACAACACATGGTTGCGCAACATGGATTCTCTAACAAAAACTTGCGCCCATTCTCTTGCGAACTCCAGAATTGTCACGACATGCTACCAAAACGGGCCCCTCACGCGCGCTTGTCGAAATCGTTCGAACACCCCTGCGCGCGTGCTGTGTCAGAATCCCTTGCAAAACATTGGACGAAGTGCGCGCCGAAATCCTTCAACCTCTTCAGGTTTCGCCAAGCTTTCAACATCGAGGAGAATGTTGACACTCATGGTTTTGCAACGCCAGTTTTCAAACAAAACCTGCGCTCGCAGTCTTGCGAACTCTTAAGTCTTTCAACATGTTCACCAATTTCTGCCAAACGGGCCTCTCGCGCTGCATGTCGAGGTCGTTCGACCGCCCTTGCGCGCGCGCCGTGGGGGCACGATCCGTGTCAAACAACGCCATGCGGGCCACTCTCGCGCATCGGCCGCGCGTGCCTGTCGAACTCCTTCTAACATTTTCGTCACCGATGCGAGGACGTCAGCGTCGTCGGCGTGATCATCATCGGCGCCGTCACTGGCCTTGCCGTCGTCGGTGTCCCAGATGCTCACCCTGGAACGGTTCCGGGGTGAAAATCCATCTGAGCGGTCCCAACATTGGGCGGGGGGGCCCTTCCGCAAGAAAAGGCTCCCCAATAAGAGATTTCATCTGGAAAATCATAATTTATTGGTTCGGGCACACCCTGCCGCTTATCCCCGAGAGCGGCTTTTCGCATTGGGAGGGTTCCCAGATGGATTTTCACCCTGAAAACGGTTCCTGGCCCAGGGTGGGAAATCCATTCGGGCGTTGCCCACACTGGGCGGGGGAGCCTAGCCACGAGGAGATATTCCACAATAGAAAAGCCCAGACGGAAACTTTACATGTCTGTGGTTTGGAAACGCCTCCTCCGCTTATCCGCGAGAGCGCTTTTTTTTGCATTGGGGGGGCCCCCAGATGGATTTCACACTGGAAGGGTTCCGGGGTGAAAATCCATCTGGGCGCTCCCATCACTGGGCGGGCGGGGCCAGCCGCGAGAAAAGGCTCCCCAATGAGATATTTCATGTAGAAAGTTACAACTCCCACACAAACACACAAACACACAAACGCACACACACACACACACACACACACACACACACACACACACACACACACACACACACACACACACACACACACACACACACACACACACACACACACACACACACACACACACACACACACAAAAAAAAAACACACACACACACGCACACACATACACACACATACACACATTATTTTCCGAGAGCGCGTTTTGGCAGTGGTGGGGGTCCAGATGGATTTTCACCCTGGAACGGTTCTGGGGTGAAAATCCATCCGCTGGGGGGGGTGTCCCAGAAGGATGCAACCCCCGCTTGGGGGGGTCCCAGAAGGACTGAGGGGGGGTTCCCAGAAGGATTGAGGATTGAGGATCGAGGGCCGCGAGAGCTTTTTTATATAAAAACATCATAGAGGTGTCCCAGAAGGATTTTCACTCTGGGACGATTCTGGGGTGAAAATCCATCTGTGCTGTGCATTCCCGACACTGGGGGAAGAAGCCCCCAAACAAACGATTCCTCGTGGAAAATCCGCGTTCTTCTTCGGCCAGCGTACACCCCCCGCTCATCCCCGAGACCGCCTTTTGTACATTGGGGTGGCCTTGGATGGATTTTCGCCCTGGAGCGCTTCCGAGGTGAAGATCCACCATGGGCGCTCCCAGCCACTGGGCGGGCGGGCTCAGCCGCGAGAAAAAGGCTCCCCGCTAAGAGATTCCGCATGGAAAAGTTTGATATTGGGGTTCGCCTGCACCCCCTCCGCTTATGCGCGAGAGCGCTTCTTTCGGGGGTGGACAGAACCCCCAACAGTGACACGCCGATTAGTGAATTGTCCGTTTTCGGTTCTCGAGAGGGCGCCGCGGCCGTTATTTTCCAGGCTTGCGCCCGCCAGGTTTGGGCCTCAGGTCGTTTTCACTAAACCCTGGCACTGGAGCGGGTCCCAGATAGATATTTTCACCCTGGAAGGGTCCCGGGGTGAAAGTGCAGCTGGGCGCTCCCAACAGTGGGCGGGCGGGCCCGGCCGCGAGAAAAGGCCCCCCAATAGCTGAGAGATCTCACGTGGGAAATCGCGACGTTTGGGGCTCGCCCCCCCCCCCCCCGCTTATCCGCGAGAGCGCCTTTTTGCATCGGGAGGGGTGCCAGATGGATTTCCACCCCGGAGCGGTTCCAAGTGAGGGGTGACAATTCATCCGGGCGGTCCGACATTGGGCGCGAGGGCCCAGCCGCGAGAGAAGATTCCCCAATCAGAGATTCCACACAGAAAATTGTACTTTTTGGCGCTCGGATACACCCCTCCGCTTATCCCCGAGAGCGCCTTTTTGCATTGAGGGGGTCCCATATGGATTTTCATCCTGAAACGGCTCCCAGGTAAAAATCCACTTGGGCGCTCCTGGCACTGGGCGGGGGGGCCAGCCGCGAGAAAAGGCTCCCCAGTGAGAGATGTCATAAGGAACATAACATTTTTTGGGGCTCCTGGAACGGGCCCGGGGTGAAGACCCATTTGGGCGCCGCTGGGCGGGCGGGCCCAGCCACGAGGAAAGGCTCCCCAATAAGGGTCCCCACATGGAAGATTCAAATGTTTGAGGCTCGGTTACACCCCCCCGCTTATCCCTTGCATTGGGGGGGGCCAGATGGAAGTTCGCCTTGGAACGGTTCCGGGGGGGGGGGTCAACTTGGAAATTGTGATTTTTGGGTCTCGGGAACATCCCCTCACTTATCCCCGAGAGCGCCTTTTTGCATTGGGAGGGGGCCCCGATGAATTTTCACCCTGGGACGGTTCTGGGGTGAACATCCATCTCGACGGTCCCGACACTGGGCGGGGGAGGCCCAGTCGCGAGAAAAGACTCCGCAGTAAGAGGTTCCATCTGGAGAATGATGATTTGGGGGGCCCTGGCCTTCCTGCTTATCCCCGAGAGCGCCTCTTTGCATTGGGAGCGGTGCCGGGGTGGAAATCCATCGCGGCGCTCCCGACATTGGACGGGGGGGCCCCGCCGCGAGAAAAGGCTCCCCAATGAGAGATTCCATATGGAAGATGACGAATTTGGGGGGCTCGGGAACACCCTCCCGCTTTCCCCGAGAGCGCATTTTTCCATTGGGAAGGGATCCTGGATGGATTTTCACCCTGGAACGGGCCCGGGGTGAAGACCCATTTGGGCGCCACTGGGCGGGCGGGCCCAGCCACGAGAAAAGGCTCCCCAATAAGGGTCCCCACATGGAAGATTCAAATTTTTGGGGCTTGGGTACACCCCCCGCTCATCCCCGAGAGCGCCTTTTGCATTGGGGGAGTCCCAGATGGGTTTGAAGCCCCGCTCCGGCGTAAAATCCAGCTGATGTGCGCTCCCGGCTCTGGGCTTGGGGGCCCAGCCGCGAGACAAGGCTCCCCAACACGAAATTTCAAGTACGGAAAATGTCGGTTTGGGGGGATCGGGGGCTCGGGTACACCCCATCGCTTATCCCCGAGAGCGCCTTTTCACACTGGGGGGTCCCAGTCGTTCCGGGGTGAAAATCCATGTGGGCGCTCCCCAAAGCAGTAGGCGCTCTCGGGGATAAATGGGGGGGGTGTACCTGGACCCCAAAAGTGATCATTTTCTCAACGCAATCTCTTATTGCGGAGCAGCTTTTTTCGGTTGGGCCGTCCAGCTGGGCTTCAAATGGAGAGGGCCAGATGGAAAATCACTCTGGAACGGCGGCGCATACGGCTCCTGGTAGCGCCCAGATGGAAAATCACCCGCCTCAGGTTCCAATCATCACCCCAGAACGGTTCCGGGGTGGATTCTGGAATCTGAAACGGGTGGATGCCAGTGTGCCAGGGCGAGGTGGTGGCCAGTTGGGGGGTCAGGGTCGTTTCCAGGCGAGAAGTTGTCGAGTGGGGGGTCCCCAAGATCAGGATCCAGAGGGAGGGGTGTGCTGGGACGAGGTGGTGGTCACGTGGGACGGCAGGGTCGCTTCCGGGCGAGAAGTTGTCGGGTGGGGGGTCCCATCAAGCAGTGGCGAAGCGTCCTGGCGTGCCGATAGGCCTACCAAACAATGTTCTAAGAACCTTCTGTGGTTTCCGCGAAATGTTCTTAGAGCAATTCTGGCTTGGACTGTCTTGTTTTAACATATTGGGTTTCTGTTCTAAGAACATTGTTTTCGTTCTTAGAACATGTCGGGTTCTAAGAACATGTCGTGGTAGGCTTATAGGAATGCCTGGACGGTCGGTCCCTGCTCAATCCCAAGATCAGGATCCAGAGGGCGGGGTGTGTCGGGGCGAGGTGGTGGCCAGGTAGGGGGTCAGGATCGGTTTCGGGCGAGAAATAGTCGGGCTGAGCAATGCCAGAGTAACACAGTGTCTTGCAAGGAAGGGTGGTCGTGGTCGGTGTCGTCAAGAGGTGCACAGTCGAAGCGCACACGCCTCAGGCGTTGGCAGATTGGACAATCGCGTGCGAAAGGTCTCGAGCGTTCGATCATGACGCGAAACAAAATTGATTTGAAGTGGACTTCTCATTGTTTTTTGACGAGGACGGTGGGGGGGTGCCCTCATTGGTCCTGGTTGGCTGCCGGTCGCCTGGGGGAAGGAAGGGCTGCCGGCCAACCCCCCTTCTGCCCCCGAAGGGGAAGAAGGGGGGTTGGAAGAGGAAGCGCTCTAAACCACTCACGCCCCAACTGGCTGGTGGGATTTCTTCGCGCGTGCGCCTTCCCACATCACCCTCACCCGTCAGCGCTATCGCATCACCGATGTTCTCCTCATTGCCTATCGCCGCCATTGCCACCAGCATCGTCACAATCACTTGGACCACCAACACATGGACATTCTCATCGCCACCGTCGTCACCAGCATCGGCGCCGACGTTGACCTTGTCATCGCCACCGTCATGATGGTCATCACCATCGCTAGTGACATCAGCTTTGCCACCGTTGTCGGCGTCATCATGATTGAGCGCCCGCCCGTGTCATCGAACCGCACTGAAGTGCCCGCGCGACAGTGCGACCTTTGAGGCTCGCTGGGAAGTTCCCACCAGCAGCCGACATCTGCTGCATCAGCTGTGCCAAACCAGCTGGTCGATCGGCGCGGTAGCGCGCGCGCCAACGCGGGCGCAGGGGGGCGCCAGCATGCTTCAATCGATAGCCGCAATCTTGGCCGAAATTGTTTTGCCAAACAAGTTGTGGGTGGGAGTGTGGGGTGGTTGTGCGAGCATCGGGGTCGACGTTTCTTTATCGCTTTGTTTCTATGTGCACCGCGTCTACTCCGACATACCGGTTGCACCACGCAGACTGCACCGCGTAGATTCATCCCATAGGTACCCGTTATTTTCACCACCATCGGCGTCAGCATCATCGGCGTCGTCATTGGCCTAGTCGTACTCACTGTCACCGTCGCCGTCATCAGCGCTAGTATCATCAACGTTGTCGCCGTTGCCGACCTCATCATGATCGAGCGCTCGCCGAAGTCACCGACCCGCACAGAACAGCCCCCGCGCCAGCGCGGCTTGGGAGACGCGCTGGGGAGCTCCCTTCGGTAGGCGCCATCGCGGCCGCATCAACCGTGCCAAACCAGCTGGTCGCTCTGTGCGCAAACGTGCGCGCGCCAGCTTGGCCACAGAGATGCGTTATCAAGTGCCGATCGGCAACCGCAATCGTTGCCGCATGGGTTTTGCCATACAAGATGTGTGTGGGAGTGTGGGATGTTGGCGCGGACATTCACGCAGGCGACTTCATGCTTTATGCGGTGGGTTGCGCAGACAGCACATCACATTTTGCGCCATACTGACTGCGCCACACACCGAACGCTCTCCCCTGCTAATACACCACATCGATTGAAAGACGGATGTTGCACCCCATAGTTGTCACCATACGCACTGCACCGTGCATCGCATGTATTGCACCATGAACGGTTGGGGCGCAAATAGCGCATCTCATTGCGAACACCTCGTAGTGTACACGCCGAGTGCAAGAATACGCTGTTTGGGTCCTCTTTGGGAAGCATCTGGTTCGTATCCTCTCTACGATGAACCCGTAGGACCATCAATATACCATGAACAGTACTACACTGTTTGCACCTGTCCACAAGAAGGGGAAGGATTGAATGAATGCGGGGGTGGATTGGTGTTGGGATAGGACGGACGGTGGTTCGTAGTGTTGGAGCCGGAGAGAGGGACGGGTGGGAATAGGCGGGAGGTAAATTATGACGGATGAGATAGGAGAGGTGTAAGAAATGCCGTGCGAATTGTCGGCCTTCCCACGGGTTTAGCGCGCAACATGGAGGAACGCGGTGCACCTGGACCAGAGTGGGTCTGAAGTCTGATCGGTTGGCACTTGTGCTGCTCAAGGTGCTCGCCAGGCATGCATTCGAATGGGATAACCCGAGTTGTCTCTGTGACGTTGTCTTTCTAGCGCAGGAGGGCCAGCTGAGACGGCGGCCCCCTCTTCCTTCTCTCATCTTTTTCCTGTCCTCCCCTCCCCTCCATCGTCCATCTTCCTCTCCTCCTTTCCTCTCCCCTCGATCCTCTTCCTTCCCTCCTTTCCTCCTCCCCTCCCCTCCATCGTCCATCTTCCTCCCCCTCCTCCTCGAGGGCCGCCCCCCTCCGAGGTCTTCCCCCGCAGAGGTCTCTGCGGAGCAGCAGGACCTCCAGACAGGGGGAGAGGACGAGGACAGGCACGCCGAGGGTGAGGACGAACCGTTCCAGAACGTTCCTTCAACGCCCGCGGCGCCCGAGACATGCTTCATCCCGCCAGCCCCTAGAGATGCCCGCTTGACCTTCATCCGAATGAATCCGTCGTTCTAGGCTGGGAGCAGACGGCCAGGAAGAGGAGGAGGAGGCGGCGGAGGCGGAGGAGGCAGAGTCAAGACCGCCGAGAAGGCCTCCATGGCCGGGCTCCGAGGGCGCCGATTGAAGCGGGGGGCGGCGAGCAGCGTGGATGAGCCGTTCCGAGGCACAGGGGCAGCCAGGCTAGCGGGACTCTGCTTTCTCGTCTCGCGAATTTGCCCCCTGTCATGCCTTCCTCTCGGGGGGGGGGGCGGCCCAGGCGCCGCAGCCGCGCCCGCGCCCTCGCCCGTTGCGGCCGCCGCGCCCGCTGCGGCGCCGGCCCCGGCACCGGCCAAGACGGCGGCGCCGGCGCCGGTGGCCGGGGGCGCCAAGGCCTGCTGGGCTGGGACGCCCGCGGGCGGCATCGGCAATGCCGTGACGAGTGTTCATGCGGTTTGGTGTGATTTTTGGGGAGCTTGCCATGCCATGTTGCTGGCTTTTGGCAGCCAGCGCTAACCGATGCCAGTCGGCGCGAATTGGCGCGAAATCGAGGCAAACCGACGCTAAACCGGCGCTTTCTCATCAACTACCAGATGTGAAGAAGTCATCGTGAGAGTTCACAAGGCTCCCAGGACTTGCTGCCGAAGGAATCCCGCATCCATCTGAAGATTCCTGTCATGGGCAGGCGGCTCGTGCGCTCCCGCTGAGTAATTCGGGCCCCCTTTAATTAACAATTCTGTCATCTCAAGACGGGATCGGGAATTACTACGCCCGATCTTTTGCCAAACATGGGGCGGGACACGCATGTCCGCGCGGAGCAATTCCTACCCCGTCCACTCCGCCAGTCGTCCGTCACACTATGTCCAAGCCGCACAGCACTTTTGCCACGGCGATGTTTACACCGCCGTGCCTTGACAGGCACATCCTGGGCACCCGGCGTCGGTATATATATATATATATATATATATATATATATATATATATATATACACACACGCACCCTCTGCATAAGATGGATCCAGACCTCCCAATTGGAGCCGCAGCAGATGGGGTCGGAGGATCGCGCCGCATCGCCGATGGATCCGCGATGCGGAGCGGTCTGGAGCCCGTTCTTCCCCATCCCGCCGTCGCCGATACATCGCCGATGCATCGGCGATGCTGCGCAGTCCTCGTGCCCCATTTTTTGCCGCCCCATTGGGGAAGCCTTCAATGGAAGGTTTGAAGTCAGGCAAGCCAACGATGAAGATACAGATTCGGGATGCAGCCTCATCCGAATTCCATTATCCTCATCCTGCCGTCGTCTTAGGCAGGATGTAAGGGATGACGAGGGGACCAGCTCGAAGAAACTCAATAGAAGATGTGCGAGGCTTTGTTGGATTGGCGCTGGGCCCCCCCTGGCGGAATCTCTGGCGCCGTATCTGGCGCGCGCGCACGCGCCAGGGAGGGGGAGAGCATGCGACGCATGGTATGAAGTCGATGGGGGGATAGGTGGCAGTGGATCCGTGAGTGGATCAATCCAAAGAAATAAGATTATGATACCTCTTTTGATTTGAGTCGGTTGTGATGCCCGTGCCCACCCCGTCCTGTATTCAGGGACGTGGTATCCGGAAAATCCGCGCCGACCTCCGCAAGATTACGCTTATGGAGACCAGTGCTTTTTTCTGTGAAGACCGACTGCACCCCAGAAAAGGCAAGTCCTGGAGTAAGTCGGGCGTGCTCCTCAACAGGTGGAATACTCCAAAATAGCCAAAAATAGTCAGGGGACGATTGTTCTACCATTCTTGATTTCTTGTATTCGTTGACTATTTTCGATCCCTCGTCCAAAACCCGCTTGCAGGAGGTCATGCCCGACCTAATCCTGGAGAGGGGCTTCTCGGGGCCCGCCCCGGGGCACCCTCTGGGAGGGCCCCGGCGCGCGCTGCGACTGGCCCCGTGGCTCCTGCGACGCCTCTCTGCGGCTGTGCGTCTCTGCGGGTGTGCCTCTCGGGGGGGGGCCTTCAACTTCGGGGGCACCCCGCAGAGCCGCGCAACGCGGGGGGCGGGGCGAGAGGCGGAGGCCCCCTGAGTTGCGAGGGGGCCTCCTTGGGGCCCCTCTGCCCTGCAGCTCCTCCTCCTCCTCCTCCTCCTCCTCCTCCTCCTCCTCCTCCTCCTTCTCCTCCTCCTCCTCCCCCTCCTCCTCCCCCTCCCCCTCCCCCTCCCACTCCTCCTCCGCCCCCGCCCCTTCGGCGCGCTGCCACGGACGGCGTTCACGACGACGACCTGCTGGTGGGCAGAGTCACGTGTTCCTCTCCGCTTCAGCCTGGCGAATGATGCTGGCAACAGTTACATCCACATCCAGTGCGTCTTGGAGTTTGGGGCTCTCTTCCCCAGAAGCCAGAGACGCACTGGATGTGGATAAAAGTCTGACCCTAAAAGGCTAGATTTGTATCCATATCCAGTGCGCCTCGGCCTTGCGGCACCCCTTCCCAAAAAGTCTTAGACGCTCAGGATATGGAAATAAGTATTGCCCGCAAAGGAGGAGGGTGATGCGGAGGAAGGCTGGGTGGAGGAGGTAAGGTCGAGGGAGGTGGAGCAGCAGTAGTAATCAGTGGCATCTGCATGGCGTGGGGCCGCTGCTGGGACGGCCTGATCATTCGCTGCAGGAATCTCCGTCCAACCAATAGTAGTGGAAGTCAGCGTAGCAGGCACGATGCAATATTGGCAGCGACCAGGAAGCACTAGAACGTAGTCGTAACTAGCCTCGAGCAGCGAGTATGTTATACCATCAAACCCCGCAGGGCTGGATGAGAGTGAGGGGGCGAGCGCGGGGTGGGTCGCGGGTGGGTCGCGGGAGGGTCATGGGTGGGTCCTGGGTGGGTCGCGGGTGGGTTCCCCAATCAGAGCTTGTCTCTGTAGGGGTCCTAGCGGATTCATATGGTTAGGTTAGGTTTGCCGCCGATGTTCGCCGCACGCCCGGGTGCCCGGGTGCCCGGGGGTGCCCGGGTGCCCAGGCGTGCCCAGGGGTGCCCGGGGGTGCCCTATAGCCCAATAGCCCCATAGCCCTAGAACTCTATAGCCCTATAGCTCAATAGCCCTATAGCTCAATAGCCCTATAGCTCTATAGCCCCCTAGACCTATAGCCCTGATTGGGTTTTTGACCGGTATCACTATACCATCAATACCCGCAGGGCTGGATGAGAGTGAGGGGGCGAGCGCGGGGTGGGTCGCGGGTGGGTCGCGGGAGGGTCATGGGTGGGTCCCGGGTGGGGCGCGGGTGGGTCGCGGGCCGGTCGCGGGTGGGTCGCGGGAGGGTGGCGGGCCTGGTCGCGAGTGGGACAATAACAATAACCAACAGGAGCAGCAACCATTGTAACAACAACAGAGACAACAACAATAACACTAGCAACAACAAACGCAATCATTGTAAGACTGTTCGCTCGTATCTGCCCGCGTGCCCTTCAACACGTATTTTCCAAACCCTCGATATTCACCCTCTTCGTCTTCGGTCGTGTCTTTTTGGGGGTGAATCGTTCTTACCTGGAACGTGTATTTCGTGCAGCACCTAAGGTAGGGGAAGAAAGGACGGATGGGAAGGGGCAAGGAGGAGAGAGGAGGATCGAGCACGAGAGAGAGTAGCAGGAGAGGGGGTTAGGAGCAGAAAGCACGTGGCAGAACCAGACGGGCAGATCGGGCGTGTAGACCCTACTAGGCGGGCGCAAGCGGCCAGGTCGAGCAGGCGGGTTGCTGAAGCGTGTCCTTCATGAATCGTGAGGACGTTTCGAGCGACAGTGCGATTCCAAAATAAATCTTGTGAGGGAATCCAGAGCGAGAGCGTGATTCCTGAGTGTCGAGGGCACGGCATCTGGATACACTGCGAGGAAGTCCCACGCGAGAGCGCGATTCCTGCATAACTTGTGAGGAACTCCCGCGCGAGAGCGCGATTTGGGAATGACTTGTGAGGAAGTCTCAGGCGGAATCCGTTATTGTTGTAATTCGGGGGCCAGGGGCGCAATTTGAGGCTCAAGAATTTCCAGGATTAGAAGGAGAATGCGAGCCCTGGGAGGGGCACTCCAATTGGAAAAAGTAGCTTGTGCACTGGATAAACAATATTTATCCTTCAGACATGAGAATTCAACAGCGGCAACAACAGCAACAACACCACCAACAACAACCACACTAACAATAACACGGACAACACCAGCAACAATAATAACAGCACCAACAAAACAACATCACCAACAACTACTACGACAAAGCCAATCATTTTAAGACTGCTCACTCTTCTTTGCTCGCGTGCTATTCAACACGTGTATCCTAAACTCTCGATGTCCGCCCTCTTCACCTTCGATCGTACACCACTTGGCGGTCTACCCTTCTTACCTGCAACGTGTATCTCGTGCAGCCCCTGAGGAAGGAGAAGAGAGGACGGATGTAATGAAGGGACAAGGGGGAGGGAGGAGGATGAAGCACGAGAGAGAGAGAGAGAGAGAGAAAGACTAGCAGGAGGGGGCTAGGAGCAGAAACCACATGGCAGAACCAGACGGGCAGATCGGGCGGGTAGACCCGAACAGGCGGGCCCAGTCGGCCAGGTCGAGCATGCGGGTTGCTGAAGCTTGCATCCTGCATGCATCGCAAGGAAGTCTCGAGCCACAGCGCGATCCCCAGTTAAACCGTCCACAGCGAGAGCGTGATTTCTGAGCGTCGAGGGCACGGCATCTGAATACATTGCGAGGAAGTCCCACGCGAGAGCGCGATTCCTGCATAACTTGTGAGGATCTCCCGCGCGAGAGCGCGATTTGGGAATGACTTGGGAGGAAGTCTCATGCGGGAGCCGTTCTTGTTGTAATTCGGGGGCCAGGGGCCACGTTTGGTGACACATCATTCCCCACTGTAAACAACAGGGTGCGAGCCCCGGGAGGGGCTTTATTTTAATTGAAACATAACGGTTACCGCGCAGGGGGGGGGGTCAACAATATTTATTTTTAGATGGGAATCCAACAACACAAACATCAGCACCAACAACATTCGTTTCACTTTTGGTCGCTTTTACTTGGTCGAGCTCCTTTCAACACGTATATTCCAAACCCTCGGTAACCCGCCCTCTTCGTCTTCGATCGTACCCACCTGGGGGTATATCTCTTCCTGACATGCCGCGTGTAATTTTCGCAGCGCGAAGGGGAGAGGACGGATAGAAAGGAGGAAGGGGATACGATGGAGCACGGGGTTGGCAGGAGGGGGGCTGGGAGTAGAACGCACGCGGCAGAACTGTAAGGGCCCACCGAGCGGGTAAACCCCGACGGGCGGGTCGGGAAGGCGGGTCCAAGCGGCCAGGTCGAGAAGGCGTGCTGCTGAAGCGGGATTACTGCAGGGATCGCCACAAGTCTCGGGCGATAGCGCGATTTCAAAATTCATCG